GTTTAATCTGATTATATTTTGCCTTCCGTGATCGCTCCCCCACCCCCCTACCCCCTCATCAACATGCTAATGACATTATATAAAACAATGACATAATTTATTTTATGATGTCATTGACATTGATGTCATCACTGGGTCTCTGTTTTCTATATAATGCAGGCAGATAATGGCCGGTGGGAGGGGCCTGCATGGTGCTGTACATAGCTTTCCAAAAGCATCACAGCACCCTGCCTCAAATACAGCTCAGTCGCTGCTGCGGCCCCTCACCATGTGACCTGCTACAAAGTTACGATGTTGCAGTCTAATCACGCGGCAAAGGAGACTAAGCAAATCTTCCCCCTGCCTGTAGCAGACTGATCACCTGGGGGGAGGGGAGACTGAGGAAATGCTTCCTCCTGCCTGTAGCAGACTGATCACTGGTGGGAGGGGAGATTGAGGAAATGCTGACTGGAGTTTAAGGACAACTTTCTTAGGGATAAGGTTACAGCTTTTTATGAACGGTGACTCTTCCTGTGTAACAGAAGTTCTCTTCTCAGTGTGACAGCTGCCGGTCCCAGAGCTCCTAATACAGAGCAGGTGACCGGCTCACTGACAATGGAGAGGAGAGCTTCCAGTTACACAGGAAGAGTCACCATCTCCCAGTGTAATGTGCAGGCTGTCCCGGAGCTCTGATGATTACACAGGGAGTTGGAGTTACCAGTTTGACAGCTCAGGCCCTGCTCTGCATTCATTCATGAATTAAAGTTACTATTATTGTGAAGAGCTTGGGTTTGGGTCCATATCATGGTCAACTCAATCCCAAAGCTCCTCCCCTATTGGTCACATTGAACACATTGGTGTTCATTATTATTTTATTTTTCATTTATTGTAATTATTACTATTATGTTTGTATTATTATTATTATTATTATTATGATTATATTTTTCTTTATTAATACTATTACTATTATTATTATTACTATTATTTTTGTATTTTATTTTTTAAAATATTATTATTCACACTTTTATCTTTTATACATAGTTTTACATATTTATTTTTTTGTTTGTTTTGTCTTCATTTTATTATTGTGAACGGGACCTGAGTACCTTATATATTTTCTTTTATGTATAACATATGTTAGAATGACCATAAAAATAATCCTAATCCTTAAACGAGGCCCTTCGTGTTGGGATCACCAGGGATTAGTTGATTGAAAGCTGCAGATTTATAAAGATTAAGTTGACTTTTGACACAACGTTACCATCTTGAAGCTTCTCTGAGATCTCAGTGATGTGTGTTTTGTATCCACTCGAACGTTTGAGCGCCGGTCCTCTTCTACTAGGAGGTACAAAAGCCACAAATCGAGGACCAATTAGGGGCCCCACAACGGCATTTTTTTTAGCTCTTTGGAAAGTTCCACCTGCCAGGAGATCTTCGCAGAAGTTTAT